TTAAGAGTAGAATAGTGTTGCTTCCTTTCCTGCCACCACCTAGGGATTCCACCCTCAACCCCTAGGTCTGAGGCAGGGTGTCTAGTAGCCCAGGCTGACCTTGAAGTCTTTTTTGTATCAAGCGTGGCCTCCCTGTTTGCTAGGATAACCTCCATGCCTGGTGCGTGCAGTGCTGAGATGTCCTGGATTTTGTGTGCCCAGAGCCTCCTGTATGCTAGGCAAATGCTCTGCCGCCTGAACTGCAGCCCAGCCCTGCTGTTAGTTTTTGCACATGCTTGTCTGGCTAATAGAATATCCTAGATCTTCACATCTGTTTCTGTACTCAGTTTGTCACAGTACATTGTTTGGGTTGTAGTATAGGAAGAAAATTTGTCCTAATAGATACGTCATTAAAACAGGAGAGAATTTCTGTACCCTTTTCAGATGATTGTTAGTATTAATTTTCATTTACATCAAAATTCAAGTGATAGTTCCTAAAGGTTAATTGTGGGATCAGAACTCCTTTCCCACTGTGCACTTGTAAGGGAATAAGCATAAACGGCAAAAGATGTCTTACTGTGAAAACAGTGCAGGACCGTATTCTGAAGGGAGCTCGGAGGCGGATGTGTCCACCACTTGTCTCACTTTGAGGGTCTCTTTTTTTGAATTCACTGTTCTAGGCCACATTCTCTTGTCCTGGGGCCACAGGTGGTGGCCATACGGGTATAGGAAGAGCTTTTAGCGTGACGTGAGAGGAGGAGAATGAAAAGCAGCGAAGGAATTCGGACTCCAAAGCCAATTAATTAGTCCTGTCCCACTCATTCTAAACCCATAGGGAGGGGTCAAAAGTTAGTGTTTTCAGCCACATCTAACTGTACGAACAGTCTGTCTCACAGCACCTACTCTTTTGTCTATACAGCAGAGTTAGGATTGCCTTGGACTTGCCTCCTTTACTGCTTCCTCTGCCTCCCTTTGCATCTCTTGCCTCGGCCTGTTGGACCTCTCTTCCCCGGAGACAAGATGAGGCTTGATTCAGTGGTCCTCTTAGGTGTGCTCAAGGGAATTAGACTGCTTCCTCTAAGTATCTGTTGTCCCGAGACCCCAGACTCTTCCAGAGCCTTCTTGTCAGTCCATTTGTGCTCTGGTGTTCCAGTCACTACTAAGCCCCACCCCGAAACGTGATCTATCACATTCAGCCGTGAGTTACTGCAACCGGAGCATTTTGACACAATACATTATGGTAATGCACAGCACATAGAGACATTAACACTCTCGACTTTGACAGAGTACACTGTGAAGTCTTTGAAGGCACCATTACAATTTATCTTGTCATTCATGAGAAGATCCAGTTCAGCTGTAATGTAGATGAACACAGTGTGGCTTTTGTCTTACTTAATTGCTTGTGACCTTTTTAATTGCTAATTTAACAAAATACCAAAGGGTTATATTTCAATTAAATTAATGGTTTGGGGAGGGATTTTGTGTTTGTTTTTAAGACATTCTGGTTCTCTCTACTTTTTCACTTTGAGAAGATAAAATGTCATCTTGAACACAAGTGGGATTTTAATGTGAAGTTGATTGAACAGTAATGATTTCCATATGCAAATGGCACAATACCAAGTATCTTGCTTATGTGTTTGGGTTCCACCTTCTCCAGGTACTGAATGCACCAGGTTTACACACCAATCCATTGTGTGTTTCTGGTCCCCAAACATACTGCTAATTCAGTGCTCTGCTTCAGGTACCTATCTCCCTTGAGATGACGTGCCTATTGCGTTGGGCTTGTCTGCTTGTCCTGTTCCTTTGTGTTCTGTAGCTGAGTCATAAGTTACTGAGGATCAAGAGCCTTTTCACATTCTGCACTCCTGGATGGGCGAGATACATGTACATACACGTAAGCCCTGCACTAAGTGGCACTCCTGGGCCCACTTGAATATTGGAAGTGGAAAGCCAGGTGGTGGTGGTGCATGCCTTCAATCCCAGCAGAGGCAGGTAGCTCTCTGTAAGTTCAAGGCCAGCCTGGTGTACAGAGTGATTCCAAGACAGCCAAGGCTACACAGAGAAACCCTGTCTTGAAAAAAACACCAAATCAAAAAGAAAACTGGAAGTGGAACTTGAGTTGTGTTCCTGTTCAGCAGGTGACCTGTTTGGAAGGAATGCAGGGCTGAGCAGCAGAAATGGAGGGAATGCAGGGCAGTGCCTTCCCTGCCCCCTTGATGCTCTGCCTTCCAGATTTTTTTAAAACTCTTTTATTCTTTTTTTTTTTTTTTTCTGATTTTTGTTTTCATTTACTTTACATCCTTACAGCCCCAACCCTCCTCCCCTCCCCTTCTCACCTTCCCACCCTTCTTTTCCCCCCTCCCCTTTTCCTCAAGAAAGGGAAATTCGGTTCCCATTCACTCCAGCTCATCAAGTTGCATCAGGACTGAGTATGTCCTCTTCCCGTGTGGCCTGGCAAAGCAGTCCCACCAGGGGGAGGTGATCAGAAAGCTGGCAAGTGAGTTCATGTCAGATGCAGTCCCTACTTCACTTACTAGAGGACCACTAAGCTGCCCATCTGCTACATCTTTGTAGGGTAGAGGCCTAGGCCTTCCTGATCTTGAGAGAGAGCAGGACAATGCTCAGAACTCGCCCAAGCATCAGGGAGCCAAAGTCCTCAATGCGCTGTGAATTTACCCTGGCAGAGAGTAGAAGGTCAGTGTGTGAAGCATTAGTGCTGAACCAGCTCCAGCTCTGAAAGTCTTGAACAGAATTAATAGAAGGAAATTGACAGGCTTTGCTGGTTATTCCACAGCTTTAAGCAGCTTTAAGACCTTGACTAAAATCCTATCATCTCATCTGCCCATTATTAACATTTCAGCAAAATATAAAGTTTTCATTAATCTCCCACAGTAAAACTGTGCCATGAAAACTGGCACTTGTTTGAGCTTTTAGGACACATTAGCTGGTGTATTAAACAAAATGTGTCATTCTTCAGCAGCTTCTGCAAGAAGCTAAATCAATTTCCAGCCGTATTTATGCACCACTTTATCTAAAAGCATCTGAATTATCATTTACAGCAAAGATGCTTTATTAGCAGCTGGCATTGAAATTGCTCAGTAAAAAAAATTATATGTCACGTTGTAGTAATTTTTAAATTGGTTTTAATCCAACATCATAAAATGTAAAAATCTTAAGTGTGGGATTCTGTTGTTGTTTTGTTTTAGTAATTGGCATTTTAGCATAATGAGCTATTACTCTTTCCAAATCAAAATACCTGCAATGTTTAGAAAATACCAATTAGTTAAAGTTCTGGAAGCTATTGAACTCAGAGCTAAGCTCTGTTTAATGTGGCATCCTTAACAAAGGTGTCTGAGGTGAATTTTGGTATTTAAGAAATAGGAGTGTTTTCTTTATAATTTTTATGTATAAGACCCAAAGATAAGAAGTACATTTGGCAGTTATGTTTCTGTTAAAATGTAGTTTGGAGAAAGTGATTATACTAAACTTTCCTCCCAGCCCTCATTCTGATGTCACATTACCCAGGAGACATTGAGGACCATGGTCTTTCCCGAATCGCCTGTGCTTCAGAATGAAACCAGTCAACAGATGGCTCTTGCAGAGGTGGCGTGTCACTCAGCTTGTTCTGCAGTAGAATGCTGGTGAAGTCACTGCCTGTCTGTGGTCACAGCAATCACTGTGACTACCCTCCTGTGGCTTACAGAGATAGATAACGACTTGCTGTAGTGTCAGGAGCCATACTAGATTTGGGGGCTTGGAGTCAGGGAAACCTTCCCTTCCTGGAACCTCATTTTAACCAGGCTTTTGAGAAGGTATAGGGAGGAGAGTAGAAGGGAGTGAGACAGAGGCAGGGTGCCCTGAGCATGTGCAATATGCTCTAAGGTGGGACTGTGTCCAAGGTGTATCACATCCTTCCCAAGAAGACAGCCTATTGCAGGAGCTGTATTGTCCATGTGAATGGCCATAGTGTTTAGAAACAATATACAGTTCCTAGTAACTGAGTTCAGTGTGAAAGAAAAGGAAACTGACTTCTTTAAAAGGTAATACTTTCCCTCCCACCAATTCCATCTGAAGGAATTCCTGAAGTTGCCTGTGTTACCTAGTGTGGCCTTGGGATATGGTTTAGCTTCTTATCAACTTAAGATGGGAAATTCCAGGACCCTCCATATTGTCTTGAGGCTTAACTAACATGAATAAAGAACTTGATATTATGGCTGATATTATGGCCATTATTTATTTAGCAAGTTTAGTGTGAGCACACCAGTTGCCTATGCTATTCTCAGGAGAAAGCATAAAGATGAATAAGAAACTTCAAAGATAAGTTCACAGAGGTAGTCACTCACCTGAGATCACACAGCAAATTAGAGGTAGAGGTGGGAGTTTAACCAGGTCTGCCCAGCTACTGTAGCTGTGTATCAGAGCCACTGAAACAGATTTCAGTGAAGAGTGAAGTCTGAGCTAGCCTGGGAAAGGGGGAGAGTCTGTTCTGGTGTAGAGCTGAAGGAGTAGTCTAGGCCATGAACAAGGTCCAGCAACTGCACCTCAGAAGTGAACAGCCCAGACTCTGGGGACTGTACCATAGTTCCCCTCTGCCTGGTATAAGCAGTCTGCAGAGTGGAGCACAGGACAGGGAGCCACAGAACAGATGGGTTGGGGATGTGGAAAAGGGAGGTTCTTCAAGGAGCATGGATGACTTCCATGACGACCATACTTCCAGATTTTGACCAACTGTGGAAACTGAGCTGGCTGAGAGCATGAGCAGGGATGCTCATCCTTTTCTCCTCACTGCACAGCCCAGGGCCTGCCTTGGAATAAGCAGTGTTTGTGGGATTAACTGTTGGATGATTAATACGATAGCATTCTCTGTTTACTGGAATGGCATTATTAAGTCATCGCTCAGCCTTTTCCCCTCCAAATTAAATAGCCCGTATTATTTTAATTTATCCCAAAGCATTTTAAGCAGACACCATTTGCCAAGCCTCATGTATCTTTATGTGTTAAACTGTTCTTTTCCTCCCCAGGTTCAAGGGCAGACGGAGTTTTTGAGGAGGATTCACAAATTGACATCGCTACAGTACAGGATATGCTTAGCAGCCACCATTACAAGTCATTCAAAGTCAGCATGATCCACAGACTGCGATTCACAACTGACGTGCAGCTAGGTGAGTGCCTGTGGAGATGGAGAGAGACGCGGCATGCAGTGTCTATATGACCTGGATGACTAAAGAGATTTTTTTTTTCCCCCTGAGGAAATGTTAAACAATGAAATTTAAAGTATCTTTTTTTTTTTTTTTTTCCCACTTGAGGGTTCTGTCTTGTCTTCTTTTTGAAGCAGAAGATTAGGAAGAGAACTCACTTGAGACTATCCTCAAATGGATGGACTTGTGGGAAGTTCCATGGTTCCTCTGGTCCTGGGGATGTCCTCAGAGCTCCTGGGGATTCTGCTGTGCTCCTGCCCTAACTCTCCAGCCTCAGCTTGCTTGTTCAGGAAGCTTCTTAATGATCTTAGAGGCTATATGTGTGTCTCAGTGGAAAATCTAGTAGTTACTTTCAACTAATGTTTGGGCTCGATTTGTTCTGATTAAGCTCTAAATTTCTGCTTTTACTTAAACCTAACAGGAATATAAAAATCACCATAATAGACAACTTGATGATAATACCTCATCATGGCGGTATTGTCTAGGTACCCATTGCATCCGAGTTACTGTGCTAATTGCTTCCCTTGCATTCTTTACTACCTAGAAGGTGGCAGTTTTTGATGTCCCACTGGACAGAGGTGGTGTTGAGGAACAGAGATAGCTTCATGCCCAATTCATTTCACACAGGCTGGTGGTAGTATTATGTGGGACCCAGGTCTGACCAGCTCACATCCTCTGTCCCCTAACAAAAATCCGCATGCGTGGGGAGAGGAGAAGCTGGGAAGGTTCCATGCCCACACAGCGAGGGAGGTGGATTGTCACCCTGCCATACCTCTCCTATAGAAACTTGTTTGCCTGTTGGATAAGGGGATAAAGATTGAGTCTAATCCTAAAATTGTTAAGTTTCTATTTGTCACAATAAAACCTTGATATTGGCATTACTCTGAATCTAGCTAATATGTCACAAGCCTTAAAAGGTTCTCACAGTATTCCTTCCCAACTGTAAATGTCTGTGCAGGTGTGTGAGCCTGTAGATGCCAGAGGTCAACCTCAGGTGTCTTCCTTCAGGTGCTCTCCACTTTAATCTTTCAAGACAGGATCTTTGACCAACCTTAGCACTTACTTGCTGGCTGAGCAGCAAGCCCCAGAGACCCTCCTGTGTCTGACACCCTCAGTACTGGCTTGAGTTTTACTTGAGTTCTGGGAATCCTGACTCAAGTCCTCAGGCTGATACCACAAGCACTTAGTCATCTCCCCCACACCTCCTTCCCAGTTTTATTGACAGGAGCTTGCCATATGCCAAATGTTCAGCTTTGTAATTAAGAGATGGGCAACTGAATCTAACTGGCTTAAAACTGTGGCTCCCTCTGTAACTGCCATGTAACCTTAAGGAAAGTTCTCTGTCTCTCTGAGCCTCAGTTCTGCCCTGTTCCAGGAGGTCAGCCAGAGCTACAAAGTAAGACCCTATCTCAAAAACAAAATTAGAAACATAAAATTTCTGAGTACTGTACCTCCTGGGGATGTTTGTTTCTGGTGTCTCTCGTAGAGATAAAAAGCAAAGACTGCTCAGAAAGAAGTCAGGTGTCTGGGGCTGACTTGAGCTTGGGTAAGAGCATTTGCCCAGTCTGCACAAGGTCCTCAGTTCAGTTTCTCCCCACACTCCAGAACACGGTTGACCTCTGTGATAGTTTGAATAAAAATGGCCACCATTGGCCTTATAGGGAGTGGCACTATTAGGAGGTGTGGCCTTGTTGGAGTAGATGTGTCACTAGGAGGTGGGCTTTGAGGTTTCAGAAGCTCAAGCAAGCCCACTGTCACTCTGTCCTCCTGCTGCCTGCCAATGCAGATGTAGAACTCTCAGCACCTTCTCCAGTACCATGTCTGCCTGCATGCCACTGTGCTTCCCAACCATGAGGACAATGTATTAAATCTCTAAACTGGGGCTGGAGAAATGGTTCAGAAGTTAAGAACATTGGCTGTTCTTCCAAAGATCTTGAGTTCAATTCCCAGCAGCCGCATGATGGCTCATAACCATCTACAGTGAGATCTCATGCCCTCTTCTGGCGTGCAGGCAGAACATTGTATAAATAATGAATAAATAAATCTTTAAAAAAAAAAAAAAAAAAACAACCCTGAATTGTAAGCCAATTAAATGTTTTCCTTATAAGAGTTGTCATGGCCATAGTGTCTCTTCATCACAGCATTAAAACCCTAACTAAGGACTAGTTGGCTAGTTGGTTAGAGATGGCTCAGTGGTTAAGAGCACTGTCTGCTCTTCCAAAGGACCCAGGTTCAATTCCCAGCACCCACATGGCTCACAACTGTCTGTAACCCCAGATCCCAATTCCAAGGGATCTGACACCTTCACACTAATGCACGTCAAATAAAGTTAAATAAATTAAAAAAAAAAAAAACAAAAAAAAAAACAAAAAACTAACTAAGACAACCTCCTCCCAAATGCTCATCAGCATGTATGGTTTTGGGGGGATCTATATTTTTGTAGAGCTCGGTTTCTCAAACTGTAGGCCCATGCAGGTTCACATAGCTGAATGTGGGGCTTTCAGAAGGTCTGACGATAGGTGGCAGGACCACCTCAGCTGAGATCTGAGCAGACTACTACTATTCCATGTTAGGAGTTGCTGTGTTTGTACTATACGTAAAACTTTCTCAGGCTAGAGAGATAGCTCAGTGGTTAAGAGTGTTTACTGCTTTTCCAGAGGACTGGATTCAGTTTCTAGTACCCATGTGGTGGTTCCTAGCCATCTGTAAATTCAGTTCCTGGGGCTCCTACATCCTCTTCTGGCCTCTACATGCTGACCGTCTGAATGCCCTGAGTTTGTTTTGAGGCAGCAGGCCTGTGTGGAGTGTTTGTCTCTCATATCTGTCTCCTGATAAAGTTCTCAGCAGTGAATACTGAGATCACACACTTGTTAGTCAGCACCATGGACTATAGGAAGAGCTGGGGACTCCAAAAAGTTGCCACCGATGCTTTTGGAAGGATAAACAGACATCTTCACTGCGAGTCTGAGCAACACTCGAATTTCCAGGTGCCCAGGGGAGGCATCTTGGTACCATCATTGAATTCAGAATTCAGTGTGCTGGCTGTGCTGGCTGCACATGATATACCCCATCCTCAGCTGCTCCTCTACCTTTTTTTTTTTTTTTTGAGAAAGGATCTCTTGCTGAACCCTGAGTTTACCAATTTGGCTGTGCTGGCCAGCAGTCCAGGAATCCTCTTGTCCCCACCTCCCCTGCACTAGGAATACAGCTGTACACGATCAAACCTGCATTTTTCACATGACTTCGGGAAAGTCAAATTCATGCTTGCACAGAAGACAGTACCAAATCAGCTACCCTCCTCAGCATCTGCTTTTTTGATGGCTTCTTTTTAGGAAGTCCTTCCAAAACAGTGTTGCACAGGCCTACTTACCCTACGGTGTGAGAAACAGTGCCTGGAATGACCAGACAGCAGGCCTGTCTCCCACTCTTCCCCAAAGGCAAAAGGAAACCTTGTATCCATCTGATTCTGACCTGCAGAGTCATCCCCAGAAAAAGGACCACAGAGTCTGTTGTGGGAGTAGCAGAGGTCTGTCTTCAGGACTGGGTTCAAGTTGTGCACACCCTTTCCGCCTTAGCTGTTACCATTTATAAAACAATGTTACAATGCTTTCCTTCTAAGGTTGTGTGGAAGTACCTGGCCCACAGAAGCTGGTTTCAAATGGTAGCTTAGCTTAGCTCAGTGATGGCTGTCATATCTTTGTTGCCTTTTGCCATCTCTTGTAGTCCCCATCTTGCAGGTGTTAAACGGGTTGCTAAGATTTGGAGCTGGCTCTCTGAGTCTCACTTGTAGCCACAATAGAGACCTGTGCAATAGAAAAGGATAAAGATGGTGTTTCCTGTATCTCTCCCCAGAAGGGTGGTTCTCTGAAGTGAGACTGGGGAGATCCCAGTTCCAGGATACTTGCGGTGGTACACATGGTGCCCTCTGGTGGACAGTCCCAGCTCTGGGGAGCGTCTAAAACAGCCCATCAGAAAATTTATTTCTCTTAGAGGCTGAGCTCAAACTTTGGCATCAAAAGCAGAAACTTCACGGGTTACTCCTAAGGAACTCTGTGACAGATGAACTGCCCTTGGTGTAATGAGTAAGTTCCCGGGTAGGTCAAGTCAAGTGTCTGTCATCAGACTCTTCCCTCCTCACAAAGCACACTGCAGTCCCTTCAGTTCACAGTACACACTTGTACACAGCAATCTAGGAATTCTTTCCCTCAGGTCAACCCAGAGTTCAGGGTATCAAACACCACTATCTTCATAAGTATTCAAGTAAGCAGCTACATTCTGAGACCAGTAAATAATTTATTCTATTTCACCTGACTAGCCAGGTGCTTCAAATGATTCCTGACACTGATGGATAGTCTTCTCCACCCATCCATCCTGTGTCAGTCAGATTAGAGATTTCCTCTGGCCCTGCAGCAAGTGCCTGCCTGCACCATTTGCCCAGCACCCCTGCTTACCCCACAGAGAGCCACCATTCACATGAATCCATGGTATGCAGGCCCACACAGCAGAAGGTGGAAACCTGGGGCTCTGCCCTGCAGCTGCAGCCGCCTGTCTTCTGATGGTGCAGAAGGGGCCCACGCTCTAGGTACCATCTGCTGTTTGCTTCTGAGAAAGTCCTGGATGAGAGACACGCAAGCTTTGCTCTGTAATACTCAAATGTAAGCCAGTTTTCTACCAGTCTGTGACTGTGAAACACTGTGAAAACCTTGACAAAGATCTAATCATTTAATATCTTATCCAGGAGAAATGGGAGATGGCTCAGTTTGCATAGTGCTGGCGTGCAAACCTGAGGACCTAAGTTCAGTATCCAGCATTCATTTAAAAGCCAGGCCACAGTAGTGCCTGTATATAATCACAGTCCTGGGGAGGCAGAGACAGGAGGATGCCTGGGGTTTGCTGTGCCAATCAAGCTGCACTAGTAACCGCCAGGGTCAGTGAAACCCTGTCTCAAAAACTAAGGTGGAAAG